CAGAACCGGTGCCGGTACCCATCCCTACAAATGATTCATGTGCCTAAAAACATGGATCCATCCTAAAGTTTGCCTTTACACATGATTTACTGATAACAGCAATGGTTTTGGATCAAAATACTCTCTTCAGTGTTCAACATGCTTCCACTACAGACTTCTTTTCGTATACTTTTATACATGTTGTATCTTGTTTTGTTTTTTTTATATACAGTACATCTGCCTTTAACTGGAGTCCAGATGCAGAATTTGAGTTCCCATTTAAAATATACTAAGAGGTTATTTCAGGTGTTTTTGTCTTCAGTGAGTATTACAGTTTTACACAGTAAATCAGCCAATGAGATGACACTAAAGACAAAATAGGGGCTTGTTTTTGTTTTCTTAAATTGTCTTTTTTTGTATAAGCTTCTTTGTAGTAACATCTTCAGTACAAAATCTTCCCCACAAGATAATATCTTTGTGACACCCTGCCTAACGTCTCTTGAGAGACAGGAATGAATATTATGTACATACACACACGTTCAATTCTGACAATTCTGTTTTACATATATGGAAAAGAAAAACTTATAAAAAGACTATATAGTGTTTTTATATATAGTGAATCATATAAGGCTTATATGATTTACTCATGAAAGTGGACACTGTCATATATTGTTTAAGTAAGTATCCAAAACATACACGTTCCATTTATATAATTTTTCAAGGGATCGTATATCTATTTTCACTCTTTTAGTTTTTTTAGTAAAGTTTTACACAAGACAGATACAAACCTTTATAGATTTATATATATCTTTTCCATATGGGTATCTTTATGTTTTTCAGAGGCTGTTTTTTCTCACTTATGAGACTTATGAGACCACTTATGAGGCAGTTGGTCACTATAAACATAAATATATAAATGATTATGGCGATTGGTTACTAATTAGTTACTAGGAGCTGGGTAATGATATTGGGTAATGACAATATGTAACCAAAATCTATCTTTCAGCTCTAAATGAATGATAACAATAAATCTCAGTGAAAACCAGGATCATTTTGGGGTGGGAGGACGTGCCAGGATCGTGACATTTTGAACAGTATTAATGCACAAGTCTTTACATCTTAATTGTTACACATTTAATACGATACACACAAAGGGTTAGGCTTTTGTACTTGTTTAGGTGAAGGTGGTTGATTTGAAGTAAATAAGGTGGAGCCACAACCCGTGACTGTGAGATGTGATGCTTTACGTCTCCACACCAGCAGGAAGCTGTGGCCTCTGTGATAGAGGTGTGACTTAACCTTCTCAGGACACCATTGAGCCAGTCCGTATATCAGCAGCCAAGTATCATGGAGGTCATCACACTTTGTGCTATTGTTGGTGAGTACTGTATTTATATGTGAGTGCCGTCTGAAATCCACTTTAGCCGCTGACTAGTGTGTTTAATTTGTGCTCTATAAAGACAATAAAATTCAAATAACATCAAAATTTAGTCCGGGCTGTAATGAGGAAGTGGTTTCTTTTACAATTCACTTTCACATCTGCTCTCACAACTGGAGGCAATGTGACACGATTTAGCAGAAGTAGCAAATATTTAATTTTTGATGTTTAAAGTTTACTAGTTTTTTTTTTTTTTTTTTTCTGGTGTGTTTTGAGAGATATTTAACTATGTTCTGGGATGTTTAAAGTCATAACGGCTAAATTAGACCAACTTTATTCATTGTAGTACATTTTGATTTAATGTATGGTTTAGGCACTTTATTTTCACCTTCATAGACATGGACAATAGTGTGAAAATACTCATAAATTATCATTCCTGCAAAGTATGCCTTTGTGTCAGTCAATAAGAATGTTTCCACTAATAACCTAAATATATGTGGGCATGTGTAACAGGTTTAATTAAAAATCTAAGCTTTCCATCATTTTTCTGTTTTGTGCAGCTTCTCTAAGAATCATTCCCAACAAATCCCAGTTCTTCCAGTATGA